AGTGAGTCTGTGGGTCTCTGGTGTGGTGAGTCTGTGGGTCTCTGTGTGGTGACGGGCTGTGGGTCTCTGTGTGGTGAGTCTGTGGGTCTCTGAGTGGTGAGTCTGTGGGTCTCTGTGTGGTGAGTCTGTGGGTCTCTGTGTGGTGAGTCTGTGGGTCTCTGTGTGGTGAGTCTGTGGGTCTCTGTGTGGTGAGTCTGTGGGTCTCTGAGTGGTGAGTCTGTGGGTCTCTGAGTGGTGAGTCTGTGGGTCTCTGAGTGGTGAGTCTGTGGGTCTCTGAGTGGTGAGTCTATGGGTCTCTGTGTGGTGAGTCTATGGGTCTGTGTGTGGTGAGTCTGTGGGTCTCTGTGTGGTGAGTCTGTGGGTCTCTGTGTGGTGACTCTGTGGGTCTCTGTGGTGAGTCTGTGGGTCTCTGTGTGGTGAGTCTGTGGGTCTCTGAGTGGTGAGTCTGTGGGTCTCTGTGTGGTGAGTCTGTGGGTCTCTGTGTGGTGAGTCTGTGGGTCTCTGAGTGGTGAGTCTGTGGGTCTCTGTGTGAGTGAGTCTATAGGTCTGTGTGGTGAGTCTATGGGTCTCTGTTGAGTGAGTCTATGGGTCTCTGTGTGAGTGAGTCTATGGGTCTCTGTGTGAGTGGAGTCTATGGGTCCTGTGTGATGTGAGTCATATGGGTCGTCTGTGTGATGAGTCTGTGGGTCTCTGTGTGGTGGGTCTAAGGGTCTCTGTGTGGTGAGTCTATGGGTCTCTGGTGTGAGTCTAAGGGGTCCTCTGGTGGTGAGTCTACGGGTCTCTGAGTGGTGAGTCTGTGGGTCGCTGTGTGGTGAGTCTGTGGGTCTCTGTGTGGTGAGTCTGTGGATCTCTGTGTGGGTCTCTGTGTGATAAGTCTGTGGTTCTCTGTGGTGTGAGTCTGTGGTCTCTGTGTGGTGAGTCTATTGGGTGGCTGTGTGGTGAGGTCTGTGGGTCCTCTGTGTGGCTCTCTGTGTGATGAGTCTGTGGGTCTCTGTGTGATGGTCTCTGGTGGTGGTGAGTCTGTGGGGTCTCTGTGTGATTGGGTCTCTGTGTGGTGAGTCTAGGGGTCGTGTGTAGTGGAGTCTGTGGGTCGCTGTGTGGTGAGTCTGTGGGTCTCTGTGTGGTGACTCCGTGGTCTCTGTGTGGTGAGTCTGTGGGTCTCTGAGTGGTGAGTCTGTGGGTCTCTGAGTGGTGAGTCTGTGGGTCCTCTGTGTGGTGATTCTGTGGGTCTCTGTGTGGTGAGTCTGTGGGTCTCTGAGTGGTGAATCTGTGGGTCTCTGAGTGGTGAGTCTATGGGTCCTCTGTGTGGTGAGTCTGTGGGTCTCTGTGTGGTGAGTCTGTGGGTCTCTGAGTGGTGAGTCTGTGGGTCTCTGAGTGGTGAGTCTATGGGTCTCTGTGTGGTGAGTCTGTGGGGTCTCTGAGTGGGTGAGGTCTGTGGGTCTCCTGAGTGGTGAGGTCTATGGGTCTCTGTGTGGTGAGTCTGTGGGTCTCTGTGTGGTGAGTCTGTGGGTCTCTGTGTGGTGACTCTGTGGGTCCTCTGTGTGGCGAGTCTTTGGGTCTCTGTGTGAGTACCGGACATCACACAACTAAAGAGCTTCAATATAAAGTCGGGGTGAGGGGGTTGGGTGGTAAATAACTTTTCACCATCAATATAACAACAGCAACAAGGACGGTACTACTACAGTGGCCGCTTTGCCCACAAACACACAAACTTCCGACTTACCGGACTCTTGACACCCATCCTCCACCTCTTCTCCTCTTACACCTCCGTCTCCGCGTGCCGCTCTGTCATCCGCGCGCGTGGCGGCCTCCTCGTCGCTGGAGGGAGCGGAGAAAGTAGCGAGGGTGATGCGCACGTACCGGGCAGCGCGTGAGAGTTGCACGCACAGTGGAACTTATTCGCGCCCGTTTCCGTAGACTAAACATTTCTAATATCGGAAGACTCACGCGAACCACCGAATAAACATCGGCGGGCGTCGTCAAGGGTTGGGGATCGAGACCCACGACCTCCTGCGTGCCAGGCGAGGTGGTCAAGCATCGCTCAGTGTCTGGCATTGAACCCACCGACCTCCTGCGTGCCAGGCGAGGGTGGGTCAACATCTCTCAGTGTCTGGCATTGAACCCAAGACCTCCTGCGTGCCAGGCGAGGTGTTCAACATATCTCAGTGTCTGGGATGAACCCACGACCTCCTGCGTGCCAGGCGAGGTAGTCAACATCTCTCAGTGGTCTGGCATTGAACCCACGACCTCCTGCGTGCCAGGCGAGGTGGTCAACATATCTCAGTGTCTGGGATTGAACCCACGACCTCCTGCGTGCCAGGCGAGGTGGTCAACATCTCTTCAATGTCTGGCATTGAACCAACGACCTCCTGCGTGCCAGGCGAGGTGGTCAACATCTCTCAGGTGGGTCTGGGATTGAACCCACGACCTCCTGCGTGCCAGGCGAGGTAGTCCAACATCTCTCAGTGTCTGGGATTGAACCCACAACCTCCTGCGTTTCAGGCGAGGTGGTCAAACATCTCCTCAGTGTCTGGCATTGAACCCACGACCTCCTGCGTGCCCAGGCGAGGTGGTCAACATCTCTCAAATGTCTGGCATTGAACCAACGACCTCCTGCGTGCCAGGCGAGGGGTGGTCAACATCTCTCAGTGTCTGGGAGTTGAACCCACTACCTCCTTCGTGCCAGGCGAGGGGTAGTCAACATCTCTCAGTGTCTGGGGATGGAACCCACGACCTCCTGCGTGTCGGGCGAGGTGGTCACATCTCCCAGTGTCTGGGATTGAACCCACGACCTCCTGCGTACCAGGCGAGCTGGTCAACATCTCTCAGTGTCGGGATTGAACCCACTACCTCCTGCGTGCCAGGCGAGGTAGTCAACATCTCTCAGTTCCGGTCTGGGATTGAACCCACGCCTCCTGCGTACCAGGCGAGCTGGTCAATATCTCTCAGTGTCTGGCATTGAACCCACGACCTCCTGCGTGTCAGGCGAGGTGGTCACTCTCTCAGTGGCTGGCATGGAACCCACGACCTCCTGCGTACCAGGCGAGCTGGTCAATATCTCTCAGTGTCTGGCATTGAACCCACGACCTCCTGCGTGTCAGGCGAGGGGTGTCAACATCTCTCAGTGTCTTGCATTGAACCCACGACCTCCTGCTCGCCAGGCGAGGTGGTCAACATCTCTCAATGTCTGGCATTGACCAACGACCTCCTGCGTGCCAGGCGAGGTGGTTCAACATCTCTCAGTGTCCTGGGATTGAACCCACGACCTCCTGCGTGCCAGGCGAGGTAGTGCAACATCTCTCAGTGTCTGGGATTGAACCCACGACCTCCTGCGGTGTCAGGCGAGGTGGTCAACATCTCCCAGTGTCTGGGATTGGAACCCACGACCGTCCTGCGTACCAGGCGAGCTGGTCAACATCTCTCAGTGTCTGGGATTGAACCCACAACCTCCTGCGTTGCCAGGCGAGGTGGTCAACATCTCCCAGTGGCTGGGATTGAACCCACTACCTCCTGCGTGCCAGGGCGAGGTAGTCACATCTCTCAGTGTCTGGGATTGAAACCCACGACCTCCTGCGTGCCAGCGAGCTGGTCACATCTCTCAGTGTCTGGGGATTGAACCCACGACCTCCTGCGTGCCAGGCGAGGTGGTCAACATCTCCCAGTGTCTGGGATTGACCACGACCTCCTGCGTGCCAGGCGAGGTAGTCACATCTCTCAGTGTCCTGGGATTGAACCCACGACCCTCCTGCGTGCCAGGGCGAGGTGGTCAACATCTCTCAGTGTCTGGGATTGAACCCACGACCTCCTGCGTTCCAGGCGAGGTGGTCAACATCTCTCAGTGTCTGGGATTGAACCCACGACCTCCTGCGTTCCAGGCGAGGTAGTCAACATCTCTCAGTGTCTGGATTGAAACCCACGACCTCCTGCGTGCCAGGCGAGGTGGTCAACATCTCTCAGTGTCTGAGATTGAACCCACGACCTCCTGCGTGCCAGGCGAGGTTGGTCAACATCTCTCAGTGTCCTGGGATTGAACCCACGACCTCCTGCGTACCAGGCGAGGTGGTCAACATCTCTCAGTTTCTGGGATTGAACCCACGACCTCCTGCGTGCCAGCGAGGTGGTCAACATCTCTCAGGTGTTTGGATTGAACCCACGACCTCCTGCGTGCCAGGCGAGGTGGTCAACATCTCTCGTTTCTGGATTGAACCCACGACCTCCTGCGTACCAGGCGAGGTGTCAAGAACTCTCAGTGTCTGGGATGGTGGTGGTGGCGGTGGTGATGATGGTGGTGGCGGTGGTGGCGGCGGCGGTGGTGGCGGTGATGGTGGCGGTGATGGTGGTGGTGGTGACGGTGGTGGGTGATGATGAGTGGTGGCGGTGGTGATGATGATGGTGTGGTGGCGGTGATGGTGGTGGGATGATGATGATGGTGGTGGTGGCGGGGGCGGTGACGATGGGGTGGTGGGCGGTGGTGTGACGTGGTAGTGGTGGTGATTGTGGTGGTGGCGGTGGTGGCGGTGGTGGCGGTGGTGGTGGTGGTGGGGTGGGGTGGTGGTGACGGTGGTGGTGGTGACGGTGACGGTGGTGGTGGTGGCGGTGGTGGTGGCAGTGGTGGTGGCGGTGGTGCTGGTGGCGGTGGTGATGGTGGTGGTGATGATGATGATGGTGGTGGTGGCGGTGGTGGTGGCGGTGGTGGTGGTGGTGATGGTGGTGACGGTGGTGGCGGTGGTGATGATGATGGTGGTGGTGGCGGTGGGTGGTGTGGTGGTGGTGTTAGTGTTGGTGGTGGTGTTGGTGATGATGATGGTGATGGTGGTGGCGGTGGTGTTGGTGGTGGTGGGTTAGTGGTGTGGTGTTGGTGTTGGTGGTGGTGGTGTTAGTGTGGTGGTGATGGTGGCTGTGGTGATGATGATGGTGGTGGTGGCGGTGGTGTTGGTGGTGGTGTTGGTGGTGGTGGTGGCGATGGTGTTGGTGTTGGTGGTGTTAGTGTTGGTGGCTACCTGCACTCGGCAGAGACGGCATCTCTCTCAGGCACCAGGCTCGGGGAGCTCCCTCCTTGCTCGTCCGCTGGGGAACGAGAACATCGCGCAGAGTGCGGAGAGAAACTCACGAGGCACGTGAGTGCGGAGCAAACTCCAAATACACACCAGCAGCAGCAGCAGCAGGCGTCGTCAGGGTCGTGATCGAACCCACGACCTCCCGTGTACCAGGCGAGGCAGTCAACATCTCATAGCCACCACAACGCCACCACAACACTCACCGTCAACATCTCATAGCCACCACAACGCTCACCGGCAACATCTCATAGCCACCACAACGCCACCACAACACTCACCGTCAACATCTCATAGCCACCACAACGCTCACCGGCAACATCTCATAGCCACCACAACGCCACACAACACTCACCGTCAACATCTCATAGCCACCACAACGCTCACCGGCAACATCTCATAGCCACCACAACGCCACCGCAACGCTCACCGTCAACATCTCATAGCCACCACAACGTCACCACAACGCCACCACAACGCTCACCGTCAACATCTCATAGCCACCACAACGCCACCACAACGCTCACCGTCAACATCTCATAGCCACCACAACGTCACCACAACGCCACCACAACGCTCACCGTCAACATCTCATAGCCACCACAACACTCACCGCCACGTTTGCCGGCACTCCGTGTGCCCCACGTGGTGCACACCACGAAGGGGAGGATCGCCAGCACCGCTATGGCCGCCATCAAGCTGATGGAGGCGCTGCCGCCACCGGCGGGGAGCGTCGCCTCGTCTCCCGTAGACACCGCGGACGAGGGTCGGGAGGAGCGGGAGGTGGCGGCGGTGGTGGCGGCTACGGGATTGGGGACACACGCGGGGAGATACGGTGAGACGCGGGGAGACAGATAAAGACAGAGAGAGACAGACACAGACAGAGAAACAGAGAGAGACAGGGAGACACAGACAGAGAGACACAGTGAGACAGATACAGACAGAGAGACAGAGAGAGAGACAGGGAGACACAGACAGAGAGACACAGTGAGACAGATACAGACAGAGAGACAGAGAGAGAGACAGGGAGACACAGACAGAGAGACACAGTGAGACAGATACAGACAGAGAGACAGAGAAAGACAGAGAGACACAGACAGAGAGACACAGTGAGACAGATACAGACAGAGAGACAGAGAGAGAGACAGGGAGACACAGACAGAGAGACACAGCGAGACAGATACAGACAGAGAGACAGGGAGACACAGACAGAGAGACACAGTGAGACAGATACAGACAGAGAAACAGAGAGACAGGGAGACACAGACAGAGTGGGATGCTGATCAGTGTTGTTGTATGAGGTTAGTGATGAGGTTTTGGTCTTCATCACTTTTCTGTGTCTGTCTTGTGTGTGTCTCGTGTGTCTGTGTTTGTCTGTGTGTGGCAGTGTCTGTCCGTGTGTGTCTGTGTGTGTCTGTGGCTGTCTGTTTGTCTGTGTGTGTGGCCTGGCACAAGCGTCGTGGTGATGTCACCACCACTTAGTGGCAAATGGCGGTTGTTGTTGTCTGTGTGTGGCTGTGTGTGTCTGTCTGTGTCTGTGTGTCTGTCTGTGTGTGTCTGTCTGTGTCTGTGTGTCTGTCTGTGTGTACCGTTCCGGCCTTCATAGGTGCTCGCTAACAGCACTTGCCCCTACAGTCTGTTAAGGCTATACGGGGGATCTTTATCTGCCTGTGTCTGTCTGTGTGTGTCTGTCTATGTGTGTCTGTGTGTCTATTCAACATCGCCTTGCCAGGCACACTGAGGAGAGGCTTGCGTAGCCCAAATGTGGTTTCAGGAAAGGGCGGTCCTGCACAGATGCCATATTTCTGTCCGTCTGCTACAGCAGAGGTGGAGGGAATTCCAACAAGACCTACATCTCTGCTTTATTGACCTGGTCAAGGCCTATGATACCATCAGTAGGCCTGGGCTCTGGGTCATTGTTCGTGCTTTTGCAGTCCCTGACCCTCTGCTCACGATTATTAAGGACCTTCGTGATGGTGAGCGGGCCCGGGTAAAACTACGTGGCTGGGAGTCAGAGCCATTCCCTTTTTACCTTGGGGTGCAACAGAGATGTCCTCTAGCTCCCACATTATTGAACATCTATTTTGACCACGTAGTTCGTGAAGCCTTCGATGGCTGTACCAGAGGAATTTCCATCTGGTACAGATACAATGGGAGGCTGATTGATGCCCAGGTGCGGTCAAGGGATAGCTCCCTATTGCTCAACCATGTTATGTATGCCGATGATCTAGTAATTGCTGCTCACTCAGAGGAGGATTTGGAGGCGCTGCTGCTGAGACTGGAGCGTGCCACTAAGAGGTGGGGCCTTACCATCAGACCCACCAAAACTAAGCACCTGCCTGGGTATTTTGTACCATTGGACACTCCACCCCCACAACTCCCATTTGGTGATGGGGCAGTTGTGGAGAGAGTGGAGAGTTTCCCATACCTGGGCAGTGTGATCATGGCCGGCTCCGGTTTAACAGCAGAGGTCTCACTCCGAATCAGTCAAGCGGCAATATCTTTTCATTGGTTGTGTAACGGTGTGTGGAAGCTACCTGGTCTGTTGCTCTGCACGAAGCTTCAGATCTTCTCGGCCACAATCATTCCCTCCCTTCTCTACGCTTGCGAAAAGTGGACCCCCTAATGGAACATATTCGCCGCTTAAAAACATTAAGGCTGGCCTGCCTACGATCCATCCTGGGTTTAACCAGGCTGGATTGTGTGAGGAGCTCATAAATCCCAGAAAGATCTGGACAAAGTCCCATCGGTGAGCTCCTCCGCCAGGCAAGGCTGCGTTGGCTGGGTCATTTGAGGCTGAGTCGACCTAGGGGAGGCCCGGGACCGGTTCAGATAATCGTCACTGGTGTTGGCCGTGAGCGGGAATCGAACTCGTGTCGCCGGGTTCATAGCGCAGTGCGCTAACCGCTGCACTACCGCTCCCCACCCTCACTCACACACCCACTCACTCACTCACCCACCCACCCACTCACCCACCCACCCACCCACTCACCCACCCACCCACTCACACACCCACTCACTCATACACACCACCCACCCACTCACCCATCCACTCACCCACCCACCCACTCACCCACTCACTGACACACTCACCCACCCACTCACCCACCCACTCACCCACTCACTGACACACTCACCCACCCACTCACTCAACCACCCACCCACTCACCCACCCACTCACCCACCCACCCACTCACCCACCACCCACTCACCCACTCACCCACGGCGCTGTGTGGTGGAGGGACGGAGACACACGACAGGGGAGACCCTCTGTCTTCCACCGCGGGTAGTTGACTACGACTCTCACGCGGACGCAGTACTCAGCGGCGCCTGCAGGCTGAGGCAGCGCGTGGCGGTAGCGACATCCCACAAAGCGCTCCTGGCAGGAGCAAGCAGATGGTCTCAGTGTGCTGCGTTACGTGGATGACACGTCGGTGGTCTGGCCACACAGCAAAGATACACTGAGCGCGTTTCTAAATCATCTCAACTCGCAAAACCCATCCATCCAAACACACACACATGTACATTGGCCACGTTCTGTTTACGTGACAACCCTCACGAGTTGGCTGTGTCGGGTGGTCGCGGGTTTTAACGACACATCATTTATATATTACGTGATCTAACCCAAAAACCTCTTTGGATGATATTGGTCGCGAAGCCTGCTACGTGTTAACCTGAGTATCATCATCAACAGTAGTAGCAGCAGCAGCAGCAATAGCATCATCAGTAGTAGCAGCAGCAGCAGCAATAGCATCATCAGTAGTAGCAGCAGCAGCAATAGCATCATCAGTAGTAGCAGCAGCAGCAATAGCATCATCATCAGTAGTAGCAGCAGCAGCAATAGCATCATCATCAGTAGTAGTAGCATCCCACCCACCCACTCAACCACCCACTCAACCACCCACTCAACCACCTACTCAACCGCCCACCCACTCACTCACCCACCCACCACTCACCCACCCACTCACCCACCCACTCACCCACCCACCCACTCACCCACCCACCCACCCACTCACCCACCCACCCACTCACCACCCACCCACCCACTCACTCACTCACCACCCACCCACCCACCCACCCACCCACCCACCTCCCACTCACACTCACTCACCCACCCACCCACATCACTCACCCACCCACTCACTCACACCCACTCCCTCACACCCACTCATTCACCCACCCACTCACCCACTGACTCACCCACTCACCCACCCACCCACTCACTCACCCACTCACACACACCCACCCACTCAAACACCCATCCACTCACTCACCCACCAACCCACCCACCTACCCACTCACCCACCCACCTAACCACCACCCACTCACCCACCCAACCACCACTCACCCACTCACCCACCCACCCACTCATCCACCCACTCACTCACCCACCCACTCACTCACCCACCCACCCACCCACTCACCCACCCACCCACCCCCACTCACCACCACTCACTCACCCACCACCCACCCACTCACCCACTCACCCACCCACCCACTCACTCACTCACTCACCCACCCACCCACTCACCCACCACCCACTCCCACCCACTCACTCACCACTCATTCACCCACTCACCCACCCACTCACTCACCACTCATTCACCCACCCACTCACTCACCACTCACTCACCCACCCACCCACTCACCCACCCACCCACTCACCCACCCACTCACTCACCACTCATTCACCCACTCTCACCGTGCTAGTGACACCCCTCCTTGTGGAGACCTCGGCTTGCAGATGGTAGTGCACGTCACTCTGCGCCATCCTCCTCCTCCACTCGCTGCTCATGGAGACCCGCACGGACAGCTCCCACGCCTTCCGCTCTCCTCATTGTCGTCGTCATCACCGTCACCACCATCACCGCCATCATCATCATCACCGTCACCGCCATCACCGCCATCATCATCATCATCATCAGCGTCACCGCCATCACCGTCACTGCCATCACCGCCACCGCCATCACCGTCGGCCCCATCACCGCCATCACTGTCACCGCCATCACCCTCATCGTCGTCATCAGCGTCGCCACCATCACCGTCACCGCCATCACCTCATCATCATCATCATCGTAGTTATCACCGTCACCGCCATCACCGTCGGCCCCATCACCGTCGCCACTATCATCCTCATCATCACCCTCATCATCATCACCCTCATCATCATCATCACCCTCATCATCCTCATCACCTCATCATCATCATCACCCTCATCATCATCATCGTAGTCATCATCGTCGTAGCCATCGTCGTCATCATCTTCGTAGTCCTCACCCTCCTCACCACCACACTCCTCCCCCTCCTCACCACTCCCCCTCATCATCACCCCCCTCCTCCTCCAGCGTCATGTTCTTGTGCAGCATCAAGGTGACAGTCGGAGCACTCAGCACGGCTGAGACAGGGGGGGGGGGGGGGGGGGAGAGTCACGGGTGGGGAGGGGTGAGGGAGATGACGTCATCTCCCTCGTCTGGTGAGATGACGTCATCTCACTCACTGGTGAGGAGATGACGTCATCTCACTCACCCCCCTAGCCTGAACAGACTGTTGGTGCCAGAGCAGCACACACAGACACACACAGACACAGACACTCACACAGACACACACACAGACATACACACAGAGACACACAGACACACACAGACACACATACAGAGACACACACAGACCACACAGAGACACTCACACAGACACACACAGAGACACACAGACACACAGAGACACTCACAGACACACACAGAGACACTCACACACAGAGACAACAACAACCGCCATTCGCCACTAAGTGGCGGTGAAGTCACCACGACCCTTGTGCCAGGCCAAGTGCACCATGAGGCTGCCACGTGAAGTGTCGAACGCCCGCTGGCAGGAGGTCACGGGGCAGACCCAGCAGGTGCCACGGGTCGACTGACCGAGATGACCGAGATGACTGGCTGATGCACCACCTGTGCCCCCTACTGTACCAACTTGCTGTGCTTTAGCCACCCGGCACTCTGCTCGTTGTTGTGAGCGTTGCTCCTCCACCCTCCGTTGTTGTTGGAGGGCGATTGCCTCCAACTGCCCAGTAGCGTCCTTCACGAAGCCTCCTCCACAGAGGCCGATCTTGACACCGCTGGTACCCAGTCATCGGCAAGTCCACTCAGGTCACGTCCTTCTGTACCACATCACCTCCATCTCTTTCTCTAGCCCGTGCCGCGCCCGTTTAGCCCCCTCGATCCGGCCGACAAAAGTCTGTTAGGCATGCGGTGGTCTGGGCATGCGGGTACATGACCCAGCCAACGCAGGCCTTGCCTGCCGGAGGAGCTCACCGATGGGACTTTGCCCAGATCATTCAAGGATTTGTGAGCTCCTCACACAATCCAGCCGCTGGTTAAACCCAGGATGGATCGTAGGCAGGCCAGCCTAAATGTTTCCAACTCGGCGAAGATGCTCCACCTAGGGGGGTCCACGTCTCGCAAGCGTAGAGAAGGGAGGGAATGACCGTGGCCGAGAAGACCTGAAGCTTCGTGCGGAGCGACAGACCAGGTAGCTTCCACACAGCGTTCGCAACCGATGAAAATATATGCCGCTCGACTGATTCGGAGTGAGACCTCTGCTGATAGACTGGAGCCGGTCATAGCACACTCCCAGGTATGGGAAACTCCTCCACTCTCTCCACAACCTGCCCCATCACCAATTGGGAGTGTGGGGGTGGAGTGTCCGATGGTACAAAATACCCAGGCAGGTGCTTAGTTTTGGTGGGGCTGATGGTAAGGCCCCACCTCTCTAGTGGCACGCTCCAGTCTCAGCAGCAGCGCCTCCAACTCCTCTTCTGAATGAGCAGCTATTACCAAATCATCGGCATACATAACGTGGGTTGACCAATAGGGAGCCATCCTTGATCGCACCCGTGCGTCGATCAGCCTCCCATTATATCTGTACCAAATGGAAATTCCCCCGGTACAGCTAATGAAGGCTTCAAGAACTACCGGTCGAAAATAGATGTTAAATAATGTGGGAGCCTAGAGGACATCCTGTCGCACCCCAAGGTGTAACAGGAAAGGCTCCGACTCCGGCCACGTAGTTTTACCCGGGCCCGCTCACCATCATGAAGGTCCTTAATGATCGTGAGCATAGGTCAGGGACTCCGAACGCACGAAGAACAACCCAGAGCCCAGGCTACTGATGGTATCATAGGCCTTGACCAGGTCAATAAAGCAGAGATGTAGGTCTTTTGGAATTCCCTACACCTCTGCTGTAGCAGACGGACAGAAAATATGGCATCTGTGCAGGACCGCCCTTTCCTGAAACCGCATTGGGCTCCGCAAGCCTCTCCTCAGCGTGCCTAGCAAGGCGATGTTGAATAATCCTTGCCAGGACCTTACCCGGCACACTGAGGAGTGAGATGCCCCCTGTAGTTGTTACAGTCTGTACGGTCCCCTTCTTAAAGAGGGGAACCACCAGGGCATCCTTCCAGTCCTGCGGAACCCGTCCAGTGGTCCAGACTGTTGTTATGATGTCATATAGGGCAGTCTGTGCACAAACGCCACCCTCCCTCAGCATTTCGCTTGGGAGATCATCTCTGCCCGGTGCCTTTCCTGGTCTCAGACTCTGGATCGCCTTCAGTACTTCCTCAACAGATGGCACCTCAGCCAGCCACTCACAGGGGGTGACCTCTTCCAATATTTGAGGCACCGCAGCCTCAGCAGGGTTATCACCACTTTGTGCCATGATGTTTTCCTGGCTGAGAGCATTTCCCTCCCCCAGGACCTCACAGAAATGCTCAGCAAATCTGCAAACCTGTTCCTGGGGGTCGGAGATTGGATCACCGTTTTTTTCCTCTAATGATGGTAATAGATGTGGCGCTGCAGGTTACTTTTTTGATGGAGTTAAATGGTGATTTGTGATCACGGGCCACTGAGGCAGACTCCATCTCCTCAGCAACCCGCGACCACCACCCATCCTTACAGCGCCTGACGGCTCTCCGAACTTCCGAGCGAAGGCTGCGGTAAACCTCCTCATTCTCTGACGTGGGATGCTGTAGGCGATGAGAGTGGGCCTGACGCTTTTTCTCAATTAACCTAAACACCTCCTCTGTCAGCCAGGGTTTCTGGGGAGGTCTGGACCGCGTACCCAAAGCAGCCATTGCAGCTGCATGAGTCACAGTCTTAAACCTCGCCCATTTCCCCTCGACATCAGGTGGAGTGGGGGACGATGCCAACCCCAGCTGCAAGCGATGAAATTCTCGCTTGCAACTTTCATCAGCTAACTGAGACCAGGCCACTTTTG